TATTGACTTCCTTCCTCCCTCCCTCCTATTGACTTCCTTCCTTCCTCCCTCCCTCCTATTGACTTCCTTCCCTCCTTCCTTCCTTCCTTCCTTCCTTCCTTCGTTCCTTCCTTCCTTCCTTCCTTCCCCCCCTCCCTCCCTTCCTCCGATTGACTTCCTTCCTTCCTCCCTCCCTCCTATTGACTTCCTTCCTCCCTCCCTCCCTCCCTCCCTATGGGTGTTATATGTCTTCTTCCCTTGCTTCCTCCAGAAGCCTGGGGTTTTGTGGGTTCTGTGCAAGATCTCCACTGTTCCTAATCCTCCCTCTTCTAGACAGAGTGCTTTGTTTTTGAGGTCTGTTGGAGCCTTGACTTCCCATTTCCATTCTCTCCACTTCCTCCTCCAAGCCCAGCTACTTCTCCAGCTTTTCTTCCTCCTCACTTGGTGGCACTGAATCGATCACTACTGCTGTCTTCAGCTCCTTGTCTGCTACTAGGATGAGTTGCGTTTCTATTTTTGAAGTGGAAAGTTAATTTGTAATTCATTTAATTCCCACCTCTGAACAGTAAAATACATTCTAGAACAGTGTTGTGGAAATATTTTTGGCATCAAGTGCCAAAACGGGAGCGCATGTGCACATGGGGGAGCTCCAGAAACTGGAATAGCAGCTCTGCAGCACGGGTGGGCAGGAGTGCCAAAAACCGGAAGAGCAGCTGCCTCGTGTGTATGTACATGCTGGGAAGCTGAGCTTCCAGTGTTCAGCATGCATATGTGTGCCAGCTACCTGGTCTTTCGGGTTTTTGGTGTGTATGCATGCACAAAGACCAGCTGGCTGCCCATGTGCGCACACTGGAAACCGGAAGTTCAGCTTCACATGCCAGGGAGCTGCTCTTCTGGTTTCCAGTGCTTCTGTGTGCATGAAGAGCAGCTGGCCGGCGTGCATATGCATGCTGGAAGCCAGAAGAGCAACAGGTGACAGCTAGCCAGGGATGGGATTCTACCAGTTTGCACCTATTTGCTAGAAACGGTTGTTAACATTCTAAGCAGTTCGGAGAACCTGTTGCTAGAAGAAATTACTGGCCTAATCCTGTAAGGAAGGCAGGAAGGAAACATTCTGGTGTTGCTTACAGAAACTGCCTCTCCATTAGCCCTTATTACATTCTTGGCAGGACTAGACGTCCTGTCTCTGGAATATCTCTGGAGTTTTTTTTTCCCCTCCATTGCTGATAATTTGCTTGTGTGGAGTGACCGTTCAAAGTTACAATGGCACTGAAAAAAGTGAGTTATGACCATTTTTTACACTTACGACTGTTGCAGCATCCCCACAGTCATGAGAGGGCAGGCGAGGAGATGCATGTCTTGATGTGAGTGATATTGAGTTGGCCACACCCAGCCAGTCACATGACCACCAAGCCACGTCCACCCAGTCACATGACCACCAAGCCATGCCCATCCCCCAAGCCATGCCCACAGAACCAGTTGTTAAAAATTTGAATCCCACCCCTGCGGCTAGCGTGTCTGGAGAGATGGCTCTGCGTGCCACTTCTGGCACACATACATTAGGTTCGCCATCACGGTTCTAGAATCTGGGATTACTTAGAAAAACATTTCTGTTTTCTAAGTAATAGAAAGTTGTTGATTTGTTTTTAAATGTATTTTTTATTTTTGTTTTAGTTGAGATATTTGGTATGTATATGGATGTAACATTGTGTGTGTGTGTGTGCGTGCGTGCGCGTGTGACTAAACACACACACACACACACACACACACACACACACACACACACTATTCCCTGTGAATCACAGTATGTCTACCTTTCTATCATTTTTCTGTCATCTACTGTATTATTACCTATTATCTGTCTGTCTACCCCGGAATGGTTTATAGTTTTCTAAAAGATATTTTGATCCTGGTATGTAATTATAGAAGGAAACCAAAAAGAAAATGTTAGAAAAAGCCTTTTTCTTTCAGCAGTAAATAATTGTTTTAATCTCACCTTTGCTCACATTATTCAGTGCTGGTGTTATGCACATTTATTACCATTTAATGGGAATTATAGCATCAACCCCTCTTTCTCTGTTTTTCCTAACTTAACAGCAACATGGAAGTGTCTATTGGAAAGAAGGAGCAAGCTCTGTTTTGCAGAATTTATCACCTGTGCTTCCTTTACATCAATCACTGAAGGTAACTGTCTCCAGAGGGTTTTTTTTTTTTGAGGAAGTTAGAAGTTGTTCCTGCTCACTGACCTTAACGCTGATTGATCTTAGAAAACCGTAGAAGATGCTTTATAATTTTCTTGGCTAAGAACAAATGCGGCTGATACTACATCACAAGGTGATGGATTTTTCCTTTACAATAGACCATGTGATACCTTCCACATTTACTTACTCTTTAAGAAAGAGAAGAGCAAGGAAGATGGATTGTTTCTTGTTCCTGTCTTCATAAAATAGACAAATAACATTGTGACATACTGATTTCATTCAAGCTCCGGATTGCCATTTCTGCAAAAATCCACATGGGTTTTTGACTTTCACTTTGTACTTTTTTTTCAGCTATGGTAATTAGTTGATCCAACTTGTCCTCTTAATGTGATTAACAGGATTTTGCAGACTTGCATTTCAGACACATGCATTTAAAAAAATGAAGTTAATGCTGAGATTTAAGAGACTCTGGGTCGAATTTGCTCGGCAAATTTTATTTATTTATTTAACTAATTAATTAATTAATATGCCGCTTGTTGCAACTGTTTTGAGTAACTTTGGGCGGCTGGCAATAATGTACGAACATAGATACAAAAGCATGAAGAACATTAAAAATTAATTTAACAAATAAATGAAAGTTTTAAATTAATATGGTCAAACCAAAATAAATAATAAAATATCAAAATAACCACAGGATGTTAGAATTGAAATGATTCTTGTATACGGACAATTTGAGAAAGATTGTGGACAGTTACCAATTTTGCTTACAATGATTTAGAGTTAATCTGTCCCGTAGTCACTGCATCTCTTTAAAATGTTCTTCCTGCTGGGTTTATGATTTCATTGGCTTAAAAAAAAAAATTCACCTCTTTTGGAGCATGCTTTTAAATTGGACTTGCTTCGATTTTTTAAAAGAAAAAAATCTCATTTTGCTTAAAAAGCGGGATAGGTCCCCATTGTGCTCATAATTCGAGGACTACCTGCATAGAAAATGCATCCTACCTGGGTTGCTTAATACAATTAAAAACACCATCATATAGCTTCTTACACAGCTTAAGTGTAGCCCCTGGTAAGTTTTTCTGTGACTTGAATGTCCCAAAGTAGAGGATAATGCCTAATGTGCATTAAAAATAATGACTGTTTTTTCTTGCTAAAATATTTCCCTTGCATCGTTGTTACACTTACCAGTGTAGAAGTAAGATAGCAATAGCAATAGCACTTAGACTTATATACCGCTTTACAGTGCATTACAGCCCCCTCTAAGCGGTTTACAGAGTCAGCCTCTTTCCCCCAACAATCTGGGCCCTCATTTTACCCACTTCGAAAGGATGGAAAGCTGAGTCAACCTTGAGCCTGGTGGGATTTGAACTGCCAAATTGTAGGCAGCTGGCTGCAGAAGTAGCTTGCAGTACTGCACTCTAACCACTGCGTCACAGAAGCTCCTAAGATGCGCTACAGTCCTAAACCAATTTTTGACCCTGACTTGATTGTAGTCCTTGACTGTTCAACTGTTTCAGTGGCATTGAAAAAAGTGACTTATGACTGTTTTTCACACTTATGACCATTGCAGCATCCCCACGATCAAAATTTGGTGCTTGGCAACTGGCCTGTATTTACAACAGTTGCAGTGTCCCAGGGCTATGAAGTCATCAAATTTAACCTTCCTACTCAGCTTCCGTTAAGCAAAGATAATCGAGGGAGCCAGATTCACTTAACAACTGCATGATTCACTTAATGACAGTGTTTCGCTTAATAAGTGTGGTTAAAAAAAAGACCGTAGAATGGGGCACAACTCACTTCACAACCGTCTTGCTTAGCAACAGAAAACTTGGGCTCAACTGCGGCGGTGCGTTGAGCCCTAGCTTTATTGTGTTAAAAAAACCAACTTGCAACTCTGACTTTATCGGCTGTTCTGCGGTCTCTTCCTTGCTTCCGACAGAATTGCTTTTCTATCAGCAACAGCCCAGTCTGGATGGATTCCAGCACAGCTGCACAGTGTAATTCTCTGGAAAAAAAGGCCGGAGGGGCTCAGAAATTAGCCGACATCACTGGATCCCGAGCTTATGAGGTGAGAGCTGTTGGAGAAGACAGGAGAGAAGGTGACCAAGAAGGTCTAATGTGAACATTGTCTAAGGCTTCTTTTCCAGTGTTGTCCCCATGATAAGTGTTGTTCCAGTGGTTGCTCCCAGGGTCCCCAACCCAGAAAGGTTGGGGAACCCTGCCATAAAAAGTAAAGGTAGTCCTCAACTTAATGACCTGTTCTGACCCAGGCTTTGTCAAATTTAATAAAACACAAGCTGAATTTAAAAGTGAAACCTTTTTTAATGCAATGCTGGGAATTACTTGTATTCCCAGCCAAAACTAATTAGACATAATTCCTCCGGATAAGAGCATGCTTTTCAGTGCTGTCGAAGGCTGCCAAGAAATCAGAAGTCCAATTAAGGCTAACATAAACCAACCCAAATACCCAGCCAAAACCAACCAGAGTACAGAGCTTCATGAAGGACTCGGTGATTACTGAACTACTTTGCTTCCTGCAAAGGATTCGTCATTGAGGTCTGACTTTTATCCCTTATGGGAAGGGCAGTCTCCTCCCAGACTCCTCCCAAGTCACCCCTTCTGCTTCAGCTGCTCTCGCCTTCTAGCAGCTCTGTGCACACGCACACTGGGAACAGGCTCCCCTGGGTCCTCTGCATCGCTGCTGCCAGACTCCAAAAGCTCCGAAGGCAGCACCCCACTCCCGGATGCTCCTGAGCCTATCCCTGCATCAGATGCAGGACCCTCGTCCGAGTCCTCTCCAGACTCCCTGACTGGTTCCCTTTCGTCCTCACCATCCGATACTTCTGCCGTCCACACCTGCTGTCGGCGAACCGCAACATGACCATCCACTTAACAGCTGTTCGCAGTTATGACTACACTGAAAAAAATGACTTACAACCAAACCTCACACTTACAACCATCACGATGTCCTCACTGTCACATTATCAACAATGCTTGGCATTTATTGATGACAGCTGCAAGGATTTGCAACTGGGGTTCCCAACAATCACTCAATCGATTCGCTTGGGGAACTCTGTGATTTGTTTAATGACCGTGACAATAATAATGGTGAAATAGAACATGATTCACTTAACAACTGCATCACTTAGCCATTGAAGTTCTGCTCACGCTTGTGGTCCTAAGTTGAAGACTACCTGTACATTTTTTGGTGGGGGAGGACAAAATGGGGCGCAGAAGGCTGTTCTGCTTTGAGTTCTGTGAAACAAACAAAATTTAGATCAGGTCAGACAAATATTTTCTGTCTGGGGCCCATGCTAAACTTTTCTGAGCGTTCATCTCCCTCAAATCTGGGAGAAGCAGGTTAGAAGCCAAGCTTCCTCTTCTTTATATTACAATGAAATTAAAACTGAAAGCAGATCTTTTAAATAAGACAGCTCCCTTTTTTTTTTTAGTGATTTCCCTTTTCTCTTACAATAAAAATTGTTAGAAGCTCGAAAGTTTGCTCTGCAGCTTCAGGTTATATAACTTTGATTTTAATAGTGCAGGTAGCTGATGTTCTCATTAATGGAAGAGAAAATGTATAGAGAATAAAATGTATGGGCTTTTTAAAGAAAGCAATTACACTGGCAGGTTCGTAGGAAAAAAAAAATGTTTGAAGGGACTGGTCCTAAGCATTGACTTAGGACTTAAGTCACGAAGGGACCATTCAGAGTTACGACAAAGTCTCCAAAAGGTGTTTATGAGCAAGTTCTGAAGTTTGGACGGCTGCCTCATTCCCTTCCTCCCATAGTCACGTGACCACATTCTGGGCACTTAGCAATTAGCCTTCATTTACAGCCTTTTGCAGGGCCCAACAATCCCATGACAGTGATTTATGAAGGGTTTTTTTTTTTTTTTAACGAAAACCGGCATTTACTTCTGGTTTCCACCAGAAAACGCCTATAGAGAACAATGGGTTTGCTTAATGGCCATGGCATTCACTGTATGACCACCACATTTGCTTTACGATTGCCATGTTCGCTTAATGACTGCTGTAAATGTCATTAAATTGGCTCAGTCCCACTTTACCACCCTCATGACTTTTGACTGCAATTATGGTTGTAAGTCAAAGATTATCTACAATGTCTTCCAAATCAACCAGGATGATTAGGGGACTGGAGGCTGAAACATATGAAGAACGGTTACAGGAACTGGGCCTGGCTAGTCTAGTGAAGAGAAGGACCAGCGGAGACGTGATAGCAGCCTTCCAATATTTGAGGGGCTGCCACAGGGAGGAGAAGGGGGTCAAGCTATTTTCTATAACACCTGAAGGCGAGACAAAGAATAATGGATGGAAACTGAACAAGGAGAGATTCAACCAGGAAATAAGGAGAAGCTTTCTGACAGTGAGAACCATCAACCAATGGAACAGAAGTTGTCCTCGGAAGTTGTGGGAGCGCCATCACTTGAGACTTTCAAGAAGAGATTGGACTCCCATCTGTCAGAAATGGTGTAGGGTCTCCTACTTGGGCGGAGGGTTGGACTAGATGACTTACAAGGTCCCTTCCAACTCTGATTCTCTGTTATCTGTTAAATCTGAGTAATACTGTAGCTAGATTTTAAGTGGATCCTTCAATTCCACAATAACTGGGATTGAAACTCCGCAGACAACAAGATTATTTGGAGATACCGTAGAGAGGAAGTAGAGTAGAAATTTCAGACTTAAAAATCTAGTTATGGAAGCAACCAATCTCCTTGGGGGATTGTATAGCTGTTGTGGTTTGATTTGGATTTGTCCTCATCCTTCTCTTGCTGATTTGGCTCAGGCTCAGAGAAGGAAACTGATTAAAGCCATCGTGTGAGAGTACACTTGAGTCTAGTTCTAGTCCAACACTTGAATTGTTTCTCAACCTTGGGCACATTAAGATGGTGTGGACATCAACTCCCAGAATTCTGCAGTCTGCGTGGAAGTTCCAAGCAATTCTGGGAGTTGAAGTCCATAGGTCTTAAAAGTCCCCAAAGTTGAACAACACGACTCAACTCTCTAGAATAGGGAAGAAGTGACTTATGGGGGATCCGGATCTTCATCCTGGCCTTTAAACCTTCCTATGAAACGAACTGATGGATAAGGAAAGCGGAAGAGGAGGGCAGGATTGAATTGTTTACGATTAGGGTGGGGATGAGAATGGGAGGAATCTGGGAGACAAACCATTTCTATCTCCCACAGTTTCCATCCGAGCCTTTCAAAGCGTCCGGCTGAAATTCAACCGATTGAGGGTGTTGTATGGCCTGAGGTCTCAATTTCGTAGTGGTATATATGAGAATGACCTTGGGCAGGGATCCGCAAACTTGGCCACGTCAAGATTTGTGAACGCCCAGAGATCCTCAGGTCTTTTAAGTGGCCAAGTTTGGAGACTTTTGACCTTGAGAGACAGCAGGAGGTGAAGACGCAGCCTAGCCCTAGACAACAGTCTGATAATCAACATCTGAGTTTGAACCAGGGGTGGTGGTGATGGTGGAGAAAACATCCCAACGGAGACTTGCAAGATTTGACATCAGCCTTTTGAGGTAGTCCAGATAAGAAGTACCAACCAAGAGTACTAACATTATTTTTATAATAAGATTACAGTAACAGAGTCTTGCAAGTCTGAAAGTATCTCCTTCGCCCTGTTTTTATGCTCCTGACAACTATGGAGGATACCTTCTGAGATCCCATCGCCACCCCAGGACTAAAATGTCATTTGATAGACATTGTCTAAGCCCCTGATGGCTGACCTTTTCGGCACTGAGTGCCCAAAGATGCATGTTGCGCATCCCCAAAATGTCATCCCCGTGCGGCCCCTGCACATGCACTCCACCCAGGGGGCAGGGACCCGGAGACCAGCTGGCCGGTGTGAGGTGCACACGCATGCACAGCGGAGCTGAGCTGGGGCAACGGCTCACGTGCCCACGGAGAGGGCTCCGTGTGTCACCTCTGGCATGCGTGCCATAGATTTGCCATCACGGGTCTAGGCAGCAGCTCTTCCTCCCTTCTCCCCAAATAATTTGCACATACTATTCCAGGTATGAACACATTTGTGTTGCACATTCCACCTCTGATATGAATGAATCATTCCTGGAAATTTTTGAAATCTTGCCTAAGTGTCCAGAAAGGTTACTTCCCATGATTTATTGTTTCTGACATATTATGGGGAACCCTATTTTTCAGTTACTTTTTTAAACTCCAGGTGAGTTAAACATTCACCTGTCAATGCATTATCATCTGTTTTATGCCTGTTGCATCTGAATAGTAACTGCTGTTATGCCTTTAATAAATTAAAACATCCAGGGTGCAATGCCGTGAACTCATTATGGTGAGTTAATTATTATTGACTCCATTTACAATTTGTGTTCCTAAATATTGGTGGCCTGTCCTTTCTCAGCGTTTTACAGGAAACCAGATAGCGAAGATTTACAGCCAGGATCCTGAAGTCTATTCACAAACCGAGGTTTGCTAATCTTCTGCTCGTTTATTGGGAATCATAACTAATTTAGGTTTTATTATGGTCTGCAAGGGGAACTTATCGCAATGCTTGTACAAATTACATTAGCATAAATATGGTAACAAAAGCCCCTCATTAAACAGAAAAGAGATCTATGAAAGGAGGTTCAGTAAAAGGGCTGCTGATGCTGCATCGCATTAATCTGAATGCTTAATATTAGCTATTTTGTTAACTGAGCATACCCTTATGCCAGAAATGCAATTCCAGATATGATCCCTTCTCCTATAGAAAGTGGGTGAAATTAGAGATGGGGATTATTAACTGATGAATTTATCACCCGCTCCCATTTAAAGAAAAAAAAGTTGTCTCTTATAATGCAATTCCAAAATGCATTGCAGACATGAAAGAAAGTAAGTTCCTTTCTGCATTAGCTTTTGATCAAGGGTGACTATCAAAATGCACGAGGTCTGAGTGTGTGTGTGTATGTGTGTGTGTGTGTGTGTATGTGTGTGTGTATGTGTGCAGGGTGTTCACGGAGGGAAAGGGGATGGGGCAAATCACAAAATGATCTAAATACCACTCCAGTCATGATATTGCACGTTGGTGTCCAAGAGCTGAGCTTGTGTGATTTTATTTATGTATTATTAAATTTATTAAATTTGCATGTGCGATGGAATGTAGTAGGCTGAAGGCACATTCCAGAATGATATTAGGGTCCAGACAGTTTGTGTTAGAGCAGGGATGTCCAACTCAGTTTCATTGGGGGCCACATCAGGGTTGTGTTTGACCTCGGTGGGGGTGGCCAGCTTGACGTCACTCCTGTCAGGGGTGCCTGTGGTAGCCTGAATGCTCTACCAGCAAAAACAGGCTCCTGAGCTCCGTTTTCGGCTACCACAACCTACCGCAACCCTCTGCCCGTGAAAACAGAGCTCAGGCAGCCCTCCCAAGCTCCATTTTCACTGGCAGAGGGTTGCAGGAGGCCGTGGCAGCTGAAAACAGAGCTCGGGGGGCCGTTTTCACCGGCAGAAGCATCACGAGCCAGTCCTTCGCTGTTTTCAGGGCAGCCCCGCAGGCCAGATCTAAGAATCCTGCGGGGCGGCTCTAGCTCCCGGGCCTTGAGTTTGACACCCCTGTGTTAGAGTAAGGGGGGGTGAAGAAAGCCTCTCTCTAATAATCCTTAAAGTCAGGGTCTCTAACACTCAGGCCGCTGACCAGTACCGGTCCATGGCTTGTTATAAACTGCACCGCACAGCTGGAGGTGAGGGGCGGGCAAGCAAGCGATGCTGTATATGAATTATCAGCCACTCCCCAGAGCTAGCATCACTACCTCAGCTCCACTTCACCAGGTTATAGACTCTCAAAGAAGCGCAAACCCTACTGCGCATGTGAGGGATCAAGGTTATGTCCCCTCCCCTCCCTTGGTCCGTGGAAAAATTGACTTTCACGAAACCGCTCCCTCGTGCCAAAAAGTGCCTAGTGCCTTAGAGTACATGGTAGATGCACAAAATAGAGCGCAGCCCCCAAAGCCAAGATTAACGTGATGATTCTTCTGAGTCGAGTTCTTTATTGTTTCCACAGCTATAGCCAGAATCTCCAACCTCCCTGACCTTCCTCAAGAGCTTAAAGGTTGGCTCTACTAGTTGGCTTGGAGCTTCAGTGAGGGCTCTTCACATTGGGGAAAGTTGACAAACTAATAACAGATACCATCTCCCACTTTCTCATCCTATTCCTTCCCTCCTCCTCTTTTAATTAGTGTATTTATCTTTTTATTACTTAGTTCCTACTGTATATTTGTAAGACTTTATTTTTTAATATTGTAAACTACCCAGAGTTATCTTGGGGTAAGATGGGTACTCAATAAATTTAATAAATAGATGATAGATAGATAAATAAGGTAGATAGATAGATAGATAGATAGATAGATAGATAGATAGATAGATAGATCTTGTCAGATGCTGACTCTGTAAACTGTTTAGAGAGGGATGTAAAGCACTATGAAGTGGTATATAAGTCCAAGTGTTACAGCCATTACTATTATTAATAATCCATCACAGTATGCTGCCTATCTCAGCAAGTGACTGAGATGATTTCCTTTGAACACAATATTTGGATTCTGAGAATGCTACCTATAAGTAAGGAAATAAATCAGGGTTTACTGCATGGCTTAGCACAGTTTGGGGACCCAGTTGTAGCATAAGACTCTAATTGCACCTGTTATTAGACGACTTCAACTAACAAGCTATTTTTCTGGCCTTCTTACTTCTTCATTCTTTTTATGACAGATGCCATGAATATAGCTAGACTTCAATTTCTTTCCTCCAAGTATAAAATAATGTTCAGAAGACAAGTTAATTTTTATTTATTCATTTACTTGATCTTTATCCAGCCTTTATTACCTCTTTTAAAGATTTTAGTTTTAGTTTTTTGAAAATCCATGGGTTTATGCGTGTAAGGGAGAGAGAGAGAGGTGAGAGGGGGGAAGCAAAGAGGAAGAGAAAGGAAGGAAGGAAGGAAAGAAGAAGGAAGAAAGGAAGGTTTATGATAGCTTAGTCTTTTGCAACTCTCAAAACAAAAATCAAAACAAGATCTTATAATAATTAATCCCTCTCAGATCCTCTTTCTGAATGCCATATTTTAAATGCTTGCTGAACTCAATGGGAGTTTCAAAACATTCTGTTTTAAATTGTCTGTGAAACAGAAATACATGTCATACGATTATTTGCTTGTTTGGATGGTCATTTACTTCTTTTTCCTTTTTCTGCCTCCAGAAAATATCCTTGGTCAGCAACTTTGCAGCTTCTCTTTTCTTAGGGGACTATGCTCCCATCGACTATAGTGATGGTAAGTGTCATGGACTCGTATTCTTTTTCTAACCCAATGCTGAGTTGTAGGAGAGAGAAGACATGGTGGGATGTCTTCTCCTTTGGTGAACAGAGGCCACTCAACAATATTGAGGGTCCTTGAAAGATAAACTAGGTCTCTTTATACAGGTAGTCCTCAACCTATGACCACAGTTGAGCCCAAAATTTATTTTGCTAAAGTGAGAAATTTGTTAAGTGAGTTTTGCCCCATTTTACAACTGTCCCTGCCACATTTGTTAAGTGAGTCATTGCAGCTGTTAAATTAGCCACATATGGTTGTTAAAGTGAATCTGTTTTCCTCGCTGACTTTGCTTATCAGAAGGTTGCAAAAGGGGATTACGTGACCCTGGGACACTGCCCCTGTCATAAATGTGAGTCAGTTATCAGGCATCCAAAGGTAAATCACATGACCCTGGGGATGCTGCAACTTTCATAAGGGTGAAAAATAATCAGAAGTCACTTTTTTTCAGTGGTGTTGTAACTTTGAATGGTCACTAAGCTAACTTTTGTAAATAGAGGACTATTGTATTCTATTTAGTTAAGTAGGTCAAAGTGTTTAAATGGATGCATATTAACCTCATTTAATTTTAATTAATATACATGTTGATCAGATTAATTTCCCCCCCTGTTAAACCCACTTCCTTCTTTGTGGTTTGGATCCTTGGTTCTGAATCCAAAGTGTGTCTTTGGAGTCTTCTGGCTAAGATTTCTTTCTCTGAAGCTGCCAGCAACTGGCTGGCTTTGCAGAAAGTGTGTCAGGCTGCAAAAACGTTGTGGTTCTTCCAAGAAGATGTATTTATTGCTTTGTTCCTTTTTGGTGTTGTTGCCCTTTCTTTCTTGGAAGTGTCTTAACACAGCTGGACTCTAAACGGTGTCCATTTTTTCCCCAATTCAGTTTCTTTTTTTACTGTGTAAGATCAGAAGAACATTCGACTAGGCCTGCTAAATTGCTCCGTCCTAATCCAGCATTAGTTTTCATAGCAGATGTCTCTGCTCACAACCAGAAGATGGAATTATTTAACACTTTTGCTACTCTTTGTCTGCAACTAATATTTAGAGGCATGCTCACAACAGAATACCCTACACCACCAGGCTTGACATTTGGCGCTTGGACAACCTAGAACTATGTTGCCTATGGTTGGACTTAAGTGTAGTACACAAAATTATCTGCTGCAAAGTCCTATCAGTCAATGACTACTTCAGCTTCAACCGCAACAAGACAAGAGCACACAACAGATACAAACTCAATGTAAACTGCAGAAAGTACGACTTCAGCAACTGAGTGGTCAATGCCTGGAATGCACTACCTGACTCTGTTGTCACATCCTCTAACCCCCATTCCTTTAACCTCAAATTAACCACTATTGACCTCACCCCATTCCTAAGAGGTCTGTAAGGGGGTGTGCATAAGTGCACCATTGTGCCTACCGTCCCTATTGTTCCCATTTATCTGTACCTATTTCCTACATTCATACTCATATTTATTCTTATACCTATCATCTTGTAAGCAATTGACAAATCATATAAATAAAATAAATATCTTCAAAACAGAAGTAACAATCAGACTATTAAAGTAGAGCCTCTGGTCACGAATGCTTCTGACCATGACCAAATTGGGTGACGAATAAAATTTTTGGAAAATGTTTGCATCTGGTCATGAACAAATACTCAGGTGGCGATCAAATACAGCCACGGCGATTTGCCCTTCCACACCAATTACCCTTCTGCGGTATTTTTATGTGCACGCGCAGTCAGACTTGCTTCCGGTCACAACCAAATCGCGTTGTGACCGAAGTCATGAAACAGATTACGGTTGTGACTGGAGGTTCTACTGTACAAGTAGCCCTCCACTTAACAACAGTTTGTATAGTGACCATTCGAAGTTACAGTGGCACTGAAAAAAGTCATTTATGACTGTTTTTCACACTTATGACTGTTGCAGCATTCCCATGGTCATATGATCAAAATTCAGACCCTTGGAAACTGACTCGTACTTGAGACGGTTGGAGTAACCTGGGGTCACGTGATAACTTTTTGCGACCTTTTGACAAGCACAGTCGATGGGAAAGCCAGATTCCCTTAACCATGTTGTTAACTTAACAACTGCAGTGATTCGCTTAACAATTTTTGTAGCAGGAAAGGTCATAAAATGGAGCAAAATTTTTCTTAACAACTGTTTCACTTAGCAACAGGAATTGGGGGCCCTTGTGTGGTCGAGGGCTACCTGTAGCTCAATCACTTCAGAAATTCCCCCCAGTCCTCTTCTGAAACCAAGGCAGTGCCCATACCAAATCTTATGGTAATCACTTCTGAAGGCAAAGAGGACACCAATTTAGATAGTCCTCGACTTACAACTATTCATTTAGTGAAGTTAAAACAGTGCTGAAAAAAGTAACTTATGCCTGATCTTTGCAGCACTCCCACGGTCACACGATCAGAATTTGCAACATGTATTTGTAATGGTGGTGGCATCCCAGAGGTCCTGTGATTGCCGTTTGCGACCTTCCCAGATGGCTTCTGACGATGGGAGAAGCCAGATTCGCTTAATGACCATGTGAATCACTTAACAATTGGAATGATTTGCTTAACAACTGTGACAAGAAAGGTTGTAAAATTGAGTATGACTCATTTAACAACCACCTATCTTAGCAATAGAAATTTTGGTCGTAAATTGAGGACTATCTGTACTGAGCCATAGTGGTGCAGTGGTTAGAGTGCAGCACTGCAAGCTACTTCTGCTGACTGCTGGCTGCCTTGAACTTGGCAGTTCACATCCCACCAGGCTCCAGGTTGATTCAGCCTCTCGTCCTTCCGAGGTGGGTAAAATGAGGACCCAGATCGTTGGGTGGGTGGGGGGCAATAGGCAGATTCTGTAAACCATTTAGCGAGGGCTGTAAAAGCACTCTCTAAACAGCACAAGTCTAAGTGCTGTTGCCACTATTTGGTTTACATTGAATGCAAACCACTTTTGTTTTGCTAATCCTGACCAAGAAGGAATCATGCATAGCATTTGCATTGGTAATATGGTTACTCAGGTGGTATTTAACTATAATTAAAGATAAGAGAGAATTTCTTCTGAGAGAATGCTATTAAAAAAAAATCCAGTAAATTCTACCCGACAACGTGTATCACAAATGAACAATCTGGAATGAAGTTTAATCCATTTCAGGAGATGCAAATCTCTTCCTATAGAACGTTTTATACTCCTGTTGATTGATTTTTATTCATTTTCGTGGAAAGAAGTGCCCCAAAGCATTAGGCATATTTTTGTTTATTCTGTGTGGATTTTTTTTTTTTCAAAGCAAGAAACTTGAGACTAATCGACTTAAATGTGTCATTTGATTTATTGTGCTTTCTGAATCAACCACAAATAACATTCTTCTAGGCTGGAGATGTATTAATATCCTACTCACGAATCCACTGTCCACCAAATCCTCAAGGTGATCCAATTTGCCTCTGACTTTGATTATTTCTTTATTGCTCTGTTCTTTGGCAAAGTTAAAAAACATAACTGGGAAATAATCCTTTACTTTAGCAAAATAGACACTTGTGTAGTCAGGTAGCTTGGAAGAATCTTACTTTTCTGATCCATTAATTAGTATTGCATGGAAGTTAAAAAAAAAAGGGAAGAGAGCCAGTTTGGTGTAGAGGTGAAGGCATCAACCTGAATTCGCAAGGTCCTGAGTTTGAGTTCCGCTTTATATATGAAACCAGCTGGGGTGACCTTGAGCCAGTCTTTCATCTCAACCTAGGAAAGAGGCAATGGCAAACCGCTTCTGAAAACCTTTCCCGAGAAAAGTCCAGAGATTTCTTCATGTAGTTTCTGAGAATCAAGACATGATTGAAGAGAAAATATTGTATATAGATAAACAGAAATCTTGGAAGAGGAAGGGCTGTCAGAGTTTGTAGCAATCCAACCAGCACACAAGTTAATAATTCAGCAGGATTCATTTATAGAAGAAACTTGTTTACATACAATAATATAGAGTATGATGCATGAGTACAATACCCATGCAGTAGGAGTCAGAACCAGAACTCAGAATCCAGAAGTCATAATCACAGAAGCAGAGATCCAAGGACAAACTATGTACAAAGTATGCACAAAGTAGCTTGATACCTGTGCTTCGCTACGAAACTATGTGGTCAGGCTTAGTTTTGGGGGAGGAAAATAAGAGAAAAAAATTCTGCTTCTGCCCACCAGCATCCATTGGTATTCATCTGGCTATCATCCTGTCAGTGTGTGAGAGAGTTGAGGTCTGTTTGGAAACTGAAACAGTATTTGCTGTGAGCAAGTAGGAGACAGCAAGGAGCCTGGGCGTGGACTTAGCTCAACTGTTCTGTACTAAAGCTGGTTGCTGCTGTGAAACTAAAATTGAAACTCCTCTCCTCTGCTCATGTTTTGCATTTGGAACAGATTTCTTTTCAGGTGGGAAGGGGGAGTAGAACTCCTTAGCATCAAAGCATGTTAATAATAATATACGAAATAGTCATGGTCTGATGGTCATTTTGAAAAATCCTTTCTTGGTGAGCATCTAGAAGCCAAGAGGAACATACGCGCCAAATTTCAAGTTTGTAGGCTTTACAGTTGTGGAGATTTTGTGATGATGTGTGAGTGGTATTCCGCTTTTATATACACTGCTCAAAAAATAAATAAAGGGAACACTTAAACAACCCAATGTAACTCCAAGTCAATCACACTTCTGTGAAATCAAACTGTCCACTTAGGTAACAAACACTGATTGACAATCAATTTCACATGCTGTTGTGCAAATGGAATAGACAAAAGGTAGAAAGCATAGGCAGTTAGCAAGACATTTGCAATAAAGGAGTGGTTCTGCAGGTGGTGACCACAGACCACTTCTCAGTTCCTATGCTTTCTGGCTGATGGTTTGGTCACTTTTGAATGCTGGTGGTGCTTTCACTCTAGCGGTAGCATGAGACGGAGTCTACAACCCACACAAGTGGCTCAGGTAGTGCAGCTCATCCAGGATGGCACATCAATGCGAGCTGTGGCAAGAAAGTTTGCTGTGTCTGTCAGCATAGTGTCCAGAGCATGGAGGCGCTACCAGGAGACAGGCCAGTACATCAGGAGACGTGGAGGAGGCCTGTAGGAGAGC